CCTGCCATCTCTAACATTCTCTCACTTTATTTTCAATTCCTCCTGAATTTTGTTGAACATTGCAAGCATTTTTTGAGGCAAAACCTCCATTAAATCTTGGAGTCGCTGACTCTCTAGCAGGCTTTAAGGGAAAGTCTTAAAGCTGACTGAGGTAAAACACTGTTTGCAATCAAGACTGTGAGCTGGATAAACCCAATGAGATCTCTTTTAACCCAGGCCTTGGCAACTTTTTTGGCCAATCCTGTTCTCCATAATTTGCATGCCAAACGTACATCAAGAGGAAGCGAGGCCTAGTGGACTGAGCAGTAGAGATGGAGTTCAAGGATCTGGATTCACTTCTTGGTCTTGCCACTAATTATCTCTGAGATGTCTTGGAGCCTTAGTTTCCCATCTGTGAATAGGACTGTCCCTCTAATAGCATTTTGGGGGACAGCATGAGATGATATATGCCTGGCAATTAGTGAGCATTCAGGAAATATCTGTTATGTTAGAAACTAAACCTGAATTTTGTCAAAAATGCCTCTGCACAGTGTCCTCCCTTGGCTGTCCCCCTTCTTGGCATTCTCAGTTATATTGGTCATGAGTGACATGCTACATGCATGACTCAAATGTCACAGTGGAAAGCTCTTGGATTTCATGGGACATACACCTACAAATGCCTGCACTCAGAAACTGAATCCTACCACCTTATTGTCAGGTGGGCCACGGTTCTGGGGAAGACAAGAGTCACGGGCCACACATGAAAGCAAAAGAGATGGTGGGGGCTTTTTTATGCTTACTCTGCAGAAAAACAAACATCTCTTTAGCTTGTTCCTTAGCTCTCACCACACGGTTATTTAGAGGGATGTTTCCATTCGCACCTATAAACTAAAGGAGAAGCTTTCTGTTCTGGGAGGAACTTTTTATGGTGGGATTCAACTTAGTTCAGTTGATTAAAGTCTGGGGAGGAGAATAAGTGTTTCTCAAACTTGGGTGCCCATGGAAAGACACAAACAGTCCTGCCGGAACCATAAATGTGCATGAGAGCACCTAGCAGTGAAATTGTCTCCAAAAATCACGCTGGATGTGAGAACAGAAGGGAGATTTAGGCTGCTTTGGGGTTTCTGCCCTTTTCTGCACACTGGCAGAAGAATATCAGTACATTTGTTCATAATATAGGAAGGCAGTCTGCCTTATTTCTTTTGCTTTTAGTTATCTCTAACCTGCAATAAAATTAAAGAGGACAATGAATTGTCTCTCCCCAAATTATAGACACCCGTATGCTCCCTGTCTCCTTTTAGAAGCATGTTTCCATTTAGAACAAAGATTTTCCCTGACTCAAGGAGCTGTAATCTCATTTTGTACTTGTTTGGGGGGAAATAAAAACACATGCATGCAATCCACAAGGAAAGCATTACCAAAATTTAATTATATTAGTAATCAAATATACATGATTTGTGTGAATGGCATTTCAGAGTTATTTTGGATAATCAGGCAGATTAGTTTGCTGGTCTCTAAGGTACCATGGGCACTTGGATGGACTTCCCTGGTCTTGTCTGTAACCATCTGCATGGGACACCTGAGATCGGTCTGGAGGAAGTATCGAGATTGCCACTGTCATCTGATATTGCAGACTTTCTGGCAGATACTGGCACCCAAGTACCATTTTATTGACTCCATTTGGATTTTCATTCTTGTGGTTTTGACCTTGTTTTTTATAATGCATACCAGTCTGTTCTTCTTCCATCCAAGACATGTCTTGTAGAAGGCTGTCTAGTGATTTATAAAATCAGATTCCTCTCGGCAATCAGGATTTTAAATGTATTTTTAGACATTTAGACCAATTGGCTGAGGCGGAGAGGTTAGCTTTAGGCATTTTTCTTATTTTCTGAAGAGCTTAGAATGAGCTAGAATGGTTTTGAAAAATTACCTTAAAAAAATGTTTAACTTAACATGACACTTATATAGTGACAGGAAACCTGTAGTAAGATCCTTCTAGAAATAGAAGCGTCTTTTTGTGAGTTGTTTTTTAATTTTTTAAATTCACAGCACTTTTCTATTCGGAATGTTCATTTTCCTCAGAGACTATACAAATTGGATTTAATAGAACCAGGAATAGGTGTTTATTTCTTCCACTTTGAAGATTTATGAGGCTAGGGATGTGGGGACATAGTGGATTGATTTTGTTCCTCCCTGTATAGACAGTGCTTAATTCCTCAGTTGGAAAGTTCATTGGCATTGGAGGTGCACTAGGTGCACAGGGCAGCACGAGTGAAATGTGGTATATGAAAACAATGGAATATGATGAAGGAAATATTCAGCCAAACAATAACCCAGCACAAGGGTAGCTCTCAAAAAATGTAACGTTGAGTGAGAAAAGTAGAAAAGAGAACAAGATTTAAAACACACTGTCATTTATTAAGTTAAAAACAAACACACACAAAACAACATCAGACAGTTGCATATTTAAGGACACATAAATAATAAATCAGAATAGCTGTCTCTGAGGGGATTGGAATGGCAATGGCAATGGGGAAAGGAACAGAAATATAAGGAAATGAGAGAGGGGCCTTGCACACTGGGGAGAATGGAGAACTAACCTGAACCTGAGGTCCAAACATTTCTTAAGAGGCGTCTATTGTAACTTTTTAGTTGTAAGTGCTGAGAGTATCGCCGTCAGTTCAAGTAGTCGTTCTCAATCTTGGCCACACATTTTAGTCATCTTAGAAGAACCTGAGAAAGTTTTTTGAAAGTACTTATTTCCCGGGCCCCAGCTGCAGTGCTTTTACTGAATTGGACCATGAAGGGTGTAGGGCTACAGCAATAGCTACGCTAATTTTCTGGTTAGGGCCCACGGACCCTTCAAACCCATTGTACAGACTGGGTCCCCTCACACGCCTGGCTGGGTCAGCAGACTCCTCACACACAGGTCCATGCTAGGTAATTGGGAAAGATCCCGGGAGCCACTGGCAGATGACAGGAGCTCAGTTCTCAGCAGCAGCAGCAGCGGCGGTGGCCTCTTGGCGG